CTCCAAGTGCCGTCAAAACCACGGTTGATGTGCCACACCAGCACCTACCTGCTCTGATTCTGCAGGACCAAACCCTGACTTTTTTTTCCTCCTCCCTTCCTTCAGAAAAACCAACATTAAAACCAGAAGACAATTCTTTGGAAGCAGATAGTTGTCCCTTCTCCCCCCATCCCACGCCGACTGATTCAATTTGGTTTTCATCCCTCCCGCTGTCCTCCAAGCTTCATGTCGTAATATTGGAAACTCGGTTTCCAGTAATAGTCAGGGAAGCAGCAGACAGGAGCAGGAATATGGGAGGAACTCCTTTTGCAATTGGCATGTGTTGCTTATACTCAAACAATAGACCTTGCCATTTGAGGTTGATCCTTAAACAACTTGTTAGGACACGCGTTAATCCAGCTTTTATCAAAACAAGATGAAACGAACTGCCCTCCCTCCAGAATCTCCAGCTGTCCTGGGAACTTGGGTACGCACTGCTTTCATCATGTAATCTCCAAATCACCCAAGAAGCATCATTGCTTCATAAGAAGAGATAGTACGTGTTGCTGGGGTTTTAGCATGAGACACCCACAGGTATCAGGAAAACAACCTGGGAATCACAAGCCAGAAAGAAACCAGACACAAAACAAGGTTTTTTTTCCAGAAAAAATATGCCTTTGCCTTTTCCAAATGTTAAACCGGAATCAAACTGGTGGATTTTCTTAAATGGAGACAGGCTCTGGAACGAAAACCTCAGGAAAAACATGCAATCCTTCAGTTTTTCTTAGAAGGAAATTTCCCCAGACATTCGTCACCCAATTTTAATTAAACGATTTAACAATTTTACAACAATTTAAACAATTAAACAATTCTAAATTAATTTAAATTATTTGTTAAATAATTTAACAAAGTGGAACTTGTGGACATCACGATGAGAGCTGATGCAACTTGATGCAAAGAATCAGTTCCTAGTTTTGCCTTGATGCAGGCAGAGATATGTCCTGGAATTAAAACACATCACCATTTCGGAAGAGACTGACCCTATCAATGGCACAACCAAGGTGATGTTAAAAGCACAATGTACCTCCTTGGCCAAGCCCAGCAGCAACACTGAAAATATGGTTTTGGGGAAGATTAAAATCCCCCAGGAATGGGCTGCCAGCAGGGAAACGGGACCATAAAATCTCCACCTTGCTACAGAACCACACCCACGCTCCATCAACAAGCACATTGCTGGGCAAGACCCACCTTCGGGCTTCTTCCAAGACGAGGCATTGAACACAGCACCACAAAACCCCAATGTCTACGTCACAAGTCCACCAGAACAAAGAGATCCCATAGATGCAAATATATTCAGTGCTTCCTGCTGGGGGGCAAAGATTAAAACCCTGGTCATCAGTGGCTTAAGCAATTTGTAAGCACCATTCCCCAAAGACCAGCATCACTCAGAGGGAACTTAATTTGGAACTTCCTGGCAGCGTGACTTCATGGAAGGGGTAACACAGGGGATGCCCACACAACGCTTAGAGGCCTGGCCTTGCCACGGTTCTGCAATCCACGCTTCTGGGGCATTAGTTAAAACAGTAGACCCACGTAGCCTCATGGCTGGGCACCACCACCTGATCTTTCCAAAGCCCCGCGTCCCTTGCCGGGATTCTCCAAAACTCTGCTTAAACTTTGGGAGCTGGACTCGAAGATCCTTAGGTTTCCCTTTGACCTCGAGCTATTTTATGATTAAACTCAGTAAAAACCCCACAATATTGTTGAGACTTGAATGGGATAAAGCATAATGATGAGGTTGGCTCTGCACAGGAGACTCAAGATGTTGCAATCAAAGAAGTAAAGGAAGAGGTACTGAAAGACGACAGAAAAAAAAAAAATAGTAACACCAAAGCTGCCCTGTGCTCTCAACTTTGCTGTCTGGACGGCCAGGGAAGACACCCAGACAACCAAAGATCAAAGTTTTAAGAGTACAAGGGAATGAGTTTGCTTCTGCTTTGATGCACGTAGCTCTGGGCTCCAACGCGAGGAGAACCGAAAGCATTGCGGGGTGGGGGGTAAGAAAAAAAAAAGGAAGCAGGATTTCAGTAAGAAAACAGTACGAAGAAGAGCCAGTCACTACTGAGGCTTGCAAAACAACTTCCAGCCAAAGGCTTTGCAAGGCAAGCCCCTTCCGTGAAGCTGACATCTGCCTTGGTGCTGAGATCACCCCTCAGGGTCCAGAAGCCTGGGAAATACCAACATTTACTTTCATTTCCTCAATCAAATCAGCAAATTGTCTGATCAACTGAAAAGGACAGTCTTTAGGCATAAGGCAAGGATAGAAGAGACAAGAAAGTTTGGAGGGGAAGGATAGTTTGTGGTAGGTTTATTTATTATTTTTTTTTAGGAGCAGACCAGCCAAGGTGCCTACACGGAGTTGAGTATGTCCATATGGCAGGAAAGATGCGGTGAACCAGCCAAGGGATGGTTCCTCAGGTCGGTTTATGGTGCTTTGGTAGGTCAAAGTTCTTCATTCTGGAAAAATGCTGGTACAACTCATCCGTTTTTTGCCATTTCAGTGAAGGCATCTGAGCTCCGAGTTCCCTCTACAGGAATGAAGACAGGATCAAACCAAAGTTGTGTGGCACTTAGTGTCCAATAGATGAACTGTCATCTGGAAACGCCCATTTTCATCACCAGACAAGATATTTTGGATGCTAGCTCAGAGGTCCCCCTGGGATGCAGAATGAATCCCATGATGTTTACATAGATTTAAATGGGTGCCCCTTTGTCCATACAAGGAAAAAACAAAACCTGATATTTTAATGCTGGGAAGTTCTCTGCCCTTCACGCAGAAGGGTGCGGTCACCCTTACTGTGTTCTGATAATAATAACACTTCCTAAAATGTGCAACAGACTGATGGCTGATGTCCAAAGCTGAGAGCACCAGTGAGTAAAGGGGACAAAAAAAAAACAAACCCAACCTGCAGAGGAACTGACTACATGCTTAATTGCTGCTTCTCCTTCTTATGACAAATCACACTTCACTCTCTTCTGGGGTATACTGATTGGCAGGATTTTTTTGAATGACCACAGCTGGGGTGCCTTTTTTTTTTTTAAGCCAGGGTATAAAATGAAAGCAAATCTCAGCAGAGGATTTGTCTTCCTACCAGAACAATGACTAGGATCGGTGAGTGCCTCTCCCCTGAATCTTGAGCTCTCTTGCTGTTTTTTCTGGTTTTCTTTCATCTTCAGTGCCTGGGTTTGGGTTTTTTCCCCATCTGGTGGAACATCTGCCTTTTGCATCGCCCCCTGGCAGCATAACCACAGGCCTCCCTTTCTTCAGCTAGGGTATTTCATGATCACCTGGAGCTCAACTTTGCAGCGCTGTGGGCAGCGGGAGACCTCCCTTGCAAGTTTTGGGAGCGGGATGTTCCTAGTTTTGCAGAGAGAGATAGAAACACAGGCACAGGCTCAGAGTCTCCAGAGACCTTCCTGGCGGACACCACCTTCCATCAGATTTGAGGTTTCTCCACGTCTAGCCACAACACAAGAAGGTCTGATGGAAGATGGAGATCCATCAGACATTTCCAACAGCTGGTCCCAATGCATTTGCTCTCCTCCTGTGGAGAGCCTGATCTCCAGAAAGGATCTCCTTTGTCTTCCACATAATCCATGGGTCTTCGGGGTTGACACAGTGGGTGAGATGAGGGCAGCAAGACTGGCTGCTGGCTCTACACCACTACGAACCCCACGCATGCCAAAAACACAACTCAAGGCAGCATCCCTGGTCCTCAAGGAAGATGAGGGCAGCAGCAGCATTGGGTCAGGAAGGTTGATGCAGCTTTGTCAACATGGTATCGCTTTATGCCACACTTTAAGAAGGCAACCCTGCTGTTAACCGGCTATTTGTAGCATATTCTAATTATTTTTTATTGCCACAGCATCTTCAGGAAGCTGGATCAGCTCTACAGGCTGTCAAAACACCTGCTTTCAGGAGTTGGACTTAGGTCTCCCAGAAAATCACCTGCAGGGTAACAGCTCTGAGGTTTATTCACAGCAGGTTCACTTTCACCCAGGCTGTTTGCAGATCTGGGGCTGTTCCAGCAAAAGCAGCGATTCCGCAGAGATTTTCCAGCAGTAAAAAGTACGCAAGATGTGGTTTCAAAAGCTTTTTTTTTTCCCTTTTATTTTTCCCTGGAAGGAAACTGGCAGTATTTGAGGGAAGGAAAAGAAAACGAAAGTTTCCATGTAGTTATTTTAGAGAACAGAAACCAAAACTAAAAAAAAAAAAATCCCAGGGTGGTTTCTGTTCAAACTTCCTTTCTCTGTGAAAATATTAATAGAACATTGTTGTGTCTGTTGTGGTAGAAATGGTCATTCTGAATGGGCTGCAGTCTGCCTGCTGTTCCCAACAGGCATCTCTATTCCCCACAGGGTACCTCAGGAACTAAATCACTTTAAATAGAGAAGTCCCATCATCTGTCTAATCTGTCCATCTTTCTATGTAGTGTTGTCTCCACCTATTCTGTCCATCTGTGCAATAGTCTCCACCTATTCTGTCCATTTTTCTGTACGATATTGTCTCCTCCCTCCATCCTTCTATCCGTCGTGTCAAAAATGCCATGAATTACTAAGGTATGGGAAAGGGCAGTTGGGACAAGAAAATTGCCTTAAATCTTTGCACATGATTGACATTAATTACCATTCTTCATCGTGGAGTCTTTTGAGCTTATTGAAAGAGGTCAAACTCATTTTAGGAGCTCACCACAGCAGCTGCACAAGCAGAACATGAGTATGAAAAAAAAAATCATCTATGGGCTTGATTTCTCCTTAAAAAAGAAAAAATCCTATTCACTGACACCACTTGACATCTGGCTGCAGTCATGCGAGACCTGCTGACACCATGGATTTCATAATCATGCCAGCTGATTTGAAAGCAGATTTGCTCGATTTTCCTCTTCAGGGTTTGGACACCAACATACTCGGAGCCAGTTTGTGCTGTCACTTCCCTCCCAGGCTGTCAGGAATGAACCTGCATGCTGATTGACGAGTGCCTTCATTACATTATTTTCTTCTCTTTTCTTCTCTCCCTAGTCCTCTTCCAAATACTCCTGCTCGTAGGTCTCCTAAGTGCAAAGAAGTTTCCATGTTTCCCTGAATATTGCCTTCATGACAAAGACTACGAGGAGCTGCTGGAGATTGTCAAAAATGGGCTAGAACCTGCAATTCATCCAGCAAATGTGGTCGTTGTCGGTGCAGGAATAAGCGGGCTTACAGCAGCGAAGTTGCTCCGAGATGCCGGCCACACGGTAAGTAGTTGCGCGAGAGCCCCGAGTGCCACTGGGTCTTGTTTGCCTGCACTAAAGATTTTCCAGCATGGAGAGGGAGAAAGAAATGCAAGGGAGTGGATCGCAGTGGTGGGAGAAGGAATTGGACTCCAGTAATTTCGTCTGATTTAGGCGTGATTTTCAAAACCACAGGCACGGAGACGAGGGGATAAGGGGAAGCTGTATGCAAAGTGAGTTGTTTAGATGCTCCCCAAATGAATGTAAGCAGCAAAGGTAAAAAGATGCAGTCATCTCTCTCTGTCCCCAAGGGTTTTTGAGATCAGGCAGAGCTACAGCTACCCTGGGACAGCCTTGGAGGCAGCGCCGCTGAGAGCGGGAGGTTGGGCTAGACCCCTCCAGAGGCACCTCCAGCCTCCACTTCTACAATTCTCCAACTTGTTGCAACTCACAGCCCAACAGTGACATTCATTGCTGTAGATCAACCAGCACAAGACTCACGAGCCCTTCAAATCCTGCCGTGTTAGGCTGGGGGTTTCAAAACTGTGTTGACCATCCCAAGGCGCTAGACAAAATTGAAACCCATGAGTTTCAAAGAAGGTTTCAAAGGCATGGAGGGACAGGTTGGTGCCTTCCTCTGGTTGTTTTCAAAACCCTGTTTTATCCTTCCAGCACAGGGAGTATCTGAACCAACGCTAGGACCCTCTCACCACAGAGGAGGTGTCCAAACGTGACACAGAAGTTAGGAACTGAGAAACTGCCCTATAGGTAGAGGGATCTTGGCCAATACAGAGAGGGGGTTGGATCTACAGATGGTTCATTTGCCACCTAGAGGGGACCTGTCCCACCCCATGGGCTATAAATGGTGCTTGCCACAGTGCCTGTGAACTTGCTTTGTAGGTGGTTTGCTTAAAATAGTCATTGCCTGAACATCTGCAGTCTCCACCCTATCCTTGTTTTTAGGTTACTATTCTGGAAACAAGCAATCAGGTGGGTGGGCGGATCAAGACATACCGACCAGAGGGACAGGACTGGTATGTGGAGTTGGGAGCCATGCGCCTGCCGAGCAAGCACAGGTAAGGGGTGTCCTACCTACTTCACAGCCATGGTCAGATGAGGAACCAGCCTGTTTTGAGGAGCAAGGCTGTGGTTTGAGATGGGGCTGCGGGCTTTGACCTGGGTGTAGCACAGCAGGAGGAAGGAGCTGTCTGCCCCATCTCTCCCCCAGAGCTTAGCATCTGCTTAAAAGGGACAAAAAGCACACGGTCACCTGCGTTTGAGTTGGGAGAATGAAGGAAGACCTCCCATCTCAGTATCACGTCTGTGCATGCTCAGACCTCTATTTTGGAAGTCACAACATCAGGAGATGGATGAATTTCCACCAGCTCTGATGGAGAGGGCATCCAACCTGGGCTCTGTGAGCAGGTGGAGTCAGTCATCAGTCAAAATGCTACGGGAAGAGGCTGTAGGTGAGTCACCGACCACACCACATGCCAAGAAGGGTCAGAGCCATAGGGAACCCCTGCCTCCTACTTCAACAGGGCATTGCTCTTACTCCTGATTACATCCTTGCGCAACCAGTAGCTGGAAAGCCAAAGGGCTCCTTTCTCCATAGCCCCATGGTTGCTGCACTGAGCTGGAAGCAGGCAGGACAACTTCAAGCAGCAAAAACTAGAGACAGCAGTGCCTTAAATAGCTGCAATCACCACTCACAAGCCAAAATAATACGTGGCTACACCAAGGTAGTCAATGGGAAAGCGTCCTTTTATGCTTCTAACGTTTTGGTGGCAGGATTTTGGGGTCTGGTTGCTTGCAAGCACTTGTCCCCATGTGCTCTCCTCTTTTCTAGGCTCGTCCGTGAATTCATTAGGCAGTTTGACCTGAAGCTAAACCCATTCATCCAGACAGATGACAACACCTGGTACTTTTTGAACGGCACTCGGATAAGAGCTGTGGAAGTGAATAGAAACCCCAATATCCTAAACTACACAGTGAAACCATCAGAGAGAGGCAAGAGTGCCAGCCAGCTTTATAGAGAAGCACTAAACAAGGTCTGTGCCGACAGGGAAGGGATGCTACCTTCCAGCAATGTTACTCATCCAAGAGACATTGAAGCTATTTCCCCTGAGCTGTGGCGGACCCTCACCTGCATGATGGGTTGAGGAAGACTCAACAATGAGTTGAGGAAGAGTAGGGTCCTTTCAGAATGAGAAGCAGAAAGGCTTGTTCAAACACTAGGGCAGCTGATTGCAAAACCCTCTTTATACACAAGACCTTTCTCTGGAACAGGTTCACCAAGACTTGGATGAAGCAGAAAATGCCACACAAAGGCATAACTTCCCAAAACTTGAAGCCCAAGCAGCAGGATCCACTAGCTCTAGCTCAGCTCCAGGGGTTACCAAACCCCAAGACTAAATACCCCAGATGAATCCTAACAGAATTTGAGGCAACGCTTTGGGAAATGCACTTTTTCTGATGAATACATCAATGTTTCCTCTCCAGGCTTTCGACACGTTCCAGACTACAGACTGCAAGAAATTTCTAGCTAAGCACGACTCCTTCTCCACCAAGGTAAAGGGCTGCAGCTTGAGAGTAAATTTAATCCCCCTACCAATGGTAAACCTGCATTCCCGCTTTTAGAAAGGATCTGAGTCACTCTAGTCTCTTCCTCTGTTGACACTTTCAGATGCCTTTTCCGTAATCAGTGCTGCCTTCTACTTAAAATGCTGGGGAAGGAGCGAGCATGACTGTTAGAGCAGTCTCATCATCTGGAAATGGGAGAGAAGCAGTGGTGATTGGAAATTCTCTGGAAAGTCATAGAATCACAGAATCATTTAGGTTGGAAAAGAGCTTTAAGATCATCGAGTCCAACCGTTAA